TGTGTGTGTGTGTGTGTGTGTGTGTGTGTGTGTGTGTGTGTGTGTGTTTATGTGTGTGTATCAGAGAGGGAAACTTTCATTCATAGGTATTTGGAAGGGAAAAGTTTTAGTGGTGGTGGTGGTAGTGGTGGTAGTTAAGAGAGGAGTCCAAAATCTGAGTTCTTAGTTGTTGAGGCTTTCATCCAACTTTTAATACCTAAAACCTTAACATTATTCATCTCTTTTTCTACTCCACCATTTACAATTCATCTCTCTCAATAGCAAGGAGCAGGCTGCAGAGATCCTGTTGTCCCTATCACCTCTGGAGGTTGGTGGGCTTAAAGACGGAATCAATTTTTTTCGGAATAAGAGCAGTGGCAAAAACTACATCTTATACAAAGATAAAAACCACCTTCGGGCCTGCAAGAACATGTGCAAACACCAAGGAGGATTATTTATAAAAGACATCGAAGATTTGGATGGAAGGTAAACTGGGCACTTCATTTTCTTGCTGGAGTGTTAGCATTTAATAAAAATTTGGCTGCACAAAAGTGTACAGGAGGAAATATTTAAAGATGGCAAAATTTGACAAAAATTTTTCCTCTCTGAAGAACTAAGGTTTTACTGTTTAACTGTCTCTGTGTTGCCCTCTCTCTGTCTCTTCTCTCCCTCCCCTGCCCCTTTTTAGGTTAAAGTTAGGGAGGTGAGGTTGGGAAGGGAAAATCTCTTTTGCTTAAAAAGCTATGTCTATAATAGCAATTTACAGTTTCCTGTACAGCCTCTTGTTCTGTTATGCATTTGGAAGTGTTTGCCTTAATTGATATTTTTGATGTTCAAAATTTTTTTGTAAATGGAGGTGAATAAGCTATCTACCAAAGATAGTACCAAAACTTTCTTTATTTTCCCTTATACTAGTTTTCATGGCTGGAGGCAGAGGCCCCTGTGTACACAAAACAGAGGCACAGTACTGAAAGTTTCTCCCATTTCCTTAAGGTGTTGGTGATATACACCCACCACCCAGAACATGGGCAGTGTGCCTCCCTGCTGACAGCTCAGAACCAGAAATCAGGGCAGATTCCTGCCTTGCAGCTCAGAGCTGTAGTTCAAATTCTCTGTGCTGCCCATTTATCATCAGTCCCTTGATTCTCCAAAGGCCCGATGGAACTATTAATTCTGATCCCTCACTGGCTGACAGTCAATAGTCCTTACAGAGGGTTTTACCACACCTCAGAGCATGGGGCAGGTTATACCAGGTGCACTTATCTGCTGCCCAAAGGAGAGAAGTCATGGGTCCTAGCACGGGGCTAGTTAACAAGATATTTTTGGTCCCAAGGGTCCAAGGATTTCAGAGTGGTTTGGTGGAAAAAGCAAAGATTGGGAGGGGTTCTGACACTTACCAGGGGCAGCCAGTCTGCTCAGTGATTAGAGCATCAGGCCTGGAGTTGTGGAGACCTGAGTTCAAATTTGGCCTCACACACTTATTAGCTGTGTGACCCTGAGCAAGTCTCTTAACCTCTGTTTGCCTCAGTTTCCTCATCCGTTAAAATAATAGCACCTGTTTCCCAAGGTTGTTGTGAGGATCAAATGAGATAATAATTGTAAAGTGCTTAGTGCAGTGCTTGGCACATTTTTGTTGTTCAGTCATTTCAGTCATTTCTTACTCTTCATGACCGTATTTGGGGTTTTCTAGGCAAAGACACTGGAGTGGATTGCCATTTCCTTCTCTAGCCCATTTTACAGATGAGGAAACTGAAGCAAACAGGGTTGACTGACTTGCCCAGGGTCACATAGCTACTAAGTATCTGGGGCTACATGTTTAACTCATGAAGATGAGCCTTCCTGACTTCAGGCCTGGCAATCTATGTCCTGTGCCTCCTCGAGGCCTTTACTCTTATCTCTTCCTTTTAAAAGCACAGTGCTTTGCACATAACAAATACATAATAAATGCAGTAAATAAATGTTCAGTTGTTTCCATCATGTCTGTGACCGTATTTGGGGTTTTCTTGGCAAAGACACTGGAGTGGATTGCCATTTCCTTCTCCAGCTCGTTTTACAGATATAAATGTTAGTTGTTATTAATTGTTACTACTCTAGATGTCACATTGGTAAAAGTTGCCTATTCTCTCTCAGGGTGTTTCCTCATATGTAGAGTCAGAATAATAATCCTAGTATGACCTTCTTGGCAGAATTTAATCACTTATTTAGAGTTTTGAACCTTGTCAGTCCTATGTAAATATAAGCCGTTGTTGTGACTACTCAAACAGTAGCTCATTTTGAGCCTTGGCTCCAATATGGTCATTGTTAAATAACAGAGTAAAGAGGTGGCTCTTTTTTTCCCCCCTCACATTATGGAATGCAGACATCCCTCTGTATCATTTGGAGAGCATAGATCTGTAGCTAGAAGGGTCCTTAGAAACCAACTAGACTAACTCCCTAATTTTACAGAGAAGGTAACTGAGACCCAGAAAGTTTGATTGACTTGACCAAGGTCTCCTAGCTCCTCTCAGAGGTAGGGTTTGGACCAAGTTCCTCTGATTCAGAGTCAAATCTCTTTCTACCCTACCACACAGTTTTCTCCTTGGGAAATATTGGGGCACTGCATAGGCCTTGTGGGCTGCCTAAAATAATTTCCTAAAATCAAGTTTTTATGAAATTTTGAACCTACATTAAAATGCATTTTTACAAATTTTTGGTAACTGGTAGAACGAGGCCTCAATCCCACATCAAAAGTCCAAGTCCAGCTAGATGGTACAGTGGATAGAGCACTGGGCTCAGAGTCAGCAAGATCAGAGTTCCAAATCAACCTCAGACACTTTCTAGCTGTGTGACCCTGGGAAAGTCACATGACCTCTGTCTGCCTCAGTTTCCTCAACTGTAAAGTGGAGATAACAATATCACCCACCTCAAGGGCAATTGTGAGTCTCAAATGAAATAATAATTGTAAAGCACTTAGCACTGTGCCTAGCACATAGTAAGTACTTTAAAAAATCCTTGTCCCCTCCCTCCCTCTTTCTTTCCATTGTACTTGTATCTTTTATTTCATAGCAGGGTACTGTAATGAGGGCATGCCTGCCAAAGAAGGCAACTGGGCTCGTGTTAAGTGGCATATTGGCATTTTCCTTCCTGTCAATGTTTGTCTCCTCTCTGCTCTACTACTTGTCTTCCTCCCACCCAAACCAAACATCTTGGTTATTTGTATTGTAGTTGTTTATAAATGAACTCATAGGGGATTGGTTCTAACAGCTCTGGCTTCTTGACATTGGTTCAACCTGAAACATGTTTCCCTTTATGAAGCAGGCTGACACATTAGCCGATGCCAGCTGCTTTTCACTTTGAGTTTCCTTTTTCTTCTAATCATTTTCCTTCATGTGCTGCAGAAAGCTATTACTGTTCTTAGAATGCTTAATATATTCAATATTTATATTCTCTTGGCTAGACTCTTAACCTTTTTTGCTGACAACAATGCCCACAGCATGCTGAATAATATTAAGGACATTTCTGGTCTTCCCATGGACATTATGGGGGCATTCCTTACTGAACTGTACCAAAAGCTTTGATATCTACAATAGTATCCTTTTTGTAGTTTTGCATATACACAGCCAATGCCTATTTTTAGCCAAAAGGACAATGCTACATTTTCTAAAAGGCCTAGAAGACATGCTTCATGTCCTTCTTCTCTTTCTTTTTATGTTGATGATTTTGGCATGTCCTGGGACCATGGTAGTGCCACGGAAAGGCCCCATTCTAGTGCTTGTGAGAGCTGCTTCCTCAAGGGGTAGGGACACGGGAGAATCTGTGACGGTCAAGTGTTTAACTTCTGGCTATTCTTCACAATCCCACGTGGGTTCTCCACTCTTTATTTGCTTGTATCTCTAAATACAGCTTGTTCCCCGCCCTTCCCCACCCCCTCTTGGTAATTATTTTCACTGCCACCATTGTGGCCTGTGTTCCTCTTGTCCAGTTGTCCTGAAGAAAGGGAGGCCAATTGCCAACTTCTCCCTTACTTATTTATTTCCCATCTTTGAGATTTCTTAAGGGCTTGTATTGTTAATGATATCATCATGGAGAGACAGCTGGTCTCACAGTCAGGAAGATCTTCGGTCAAGTTCTGCCTTGGACACATGCTGGTTGTGTTATCATAAACACGTTTCTAAAACTTTCAGTGACCCCAGGCAACTTTTAAAGACTATACATTGCTTAAGGGACAGATCTCTATTGGTAGAGGAGATCTCCTTCCCAGGAGTTTTCTGTTGTTTAAAGTTCTGTTCTGTTTAAACAATGAATCTGGACCAAAACAAACAAACAAACAAAAACTACAAGGAAACATAAAGGGAAATTAACAAAACAAAACAAAAAAGGTAATGTCTAAGAACTAGTTTTCAATGAAAATGTATATGGAGGTAGGTCCTGACCTTTCTTAAGTTTCTCCTATTCTCTCACACTGTTCTTCAACCCATCTACAAAATTAGCCTTGGAGGAAGCTAAATGGCTCAGTGAATACAGCATGGGGCTTGGAGTCAGGAAGACCTGAGTTCAAATCCTTACTCAGATACTAATTAGCTGAGTGATGCCAGGCAAGTCACTTAACCTTGTCTCAGGTCTTCATCTATAAAATGAGCTGGAGAAGGAAATGATAAACTACTTTAGTATCTTTGCCAAGAAAACCCTAAATGGGGTCATGAAGAGTTGGACATGACTGAATAACAAAACAACAAGAAGAATTAGCCCTTGCCCAAATCTTCTCTTCTTCTCTTCTTTTTATTCCTGGCCCTGGGTTCTGTGGATTTCATTCTTTCACCTTTCAGAAGGAAGCAGATTCAAGTTTCCCACCCAACTCCCCCCCCCCACCTATAAACTTTCTTATGAGGGTTTGGCAGTTTCTACATTAAAGAATGGGAGGGCTTGGAATATGATATACTGGAAGGCAAAGGAGTTAGGATTACAACCAAGAATCACCTATCCAGCAAAATTAAATATAATCTTTCAGGAAGAAAATGGAAATTTAACAAAATAGAAGACTTTTAAGCATTTATAATTAAAAGACTAGAGCTTTATAAAAATTTTGACTTCTAAATACAAGAATCAAGAGAAACACAAAAAGGTATAAAAGAAGAAAGAAAAAACATAAGAAATTCAATAAGGTGAGACTGTTTATATTTCTATATGGCAAGATAATATTTGTAACTCTTAGCTTTATTACTATAAGAGCAATTAGAAGGAATATATGTAGACAGAGGGTGTGGGTATAAAGTGACTTTGATGGGGTGATACCCCAAAAATAAAATAAAGGGATGAGAAAGAAAATTGCACTGGAAGAAGAAGGAGGGGGAAGATTGAATGGGGTAAATTATCCCACCTCAAAGAGGTATTGAAGAGCTATTATAATGGAGGGGAAGATAAGGGGCGGATGGCAGGCAAAGCTTAAACCTTACTCTCATCAAAATTTGTTCAAAGAGGGCATAACATACACACTCACTTGGAAATAG